CATTTATGCGCTTGTCTCGTGCACTGCCCACTAACCAAGGAAGAACAGTAAAAAAAAAGTCTTTGCCTCTAGGCTCAGAGATCTAGTTGGTCTGATGAAAAAAACAGCTTCAATTATAGTAACGCGCCACATTTTTTGGCAGTAATGGTAACAGCGTTATTAAGATGGGAAGAGTTATCAATTAGATTACTCGTTACTGAAAAAAGTAACGCCGTTGTTTACAACGCCGTTATTCCTATCACTGATAATAATAGAAAAGCTAATTAAAAAAACTTTGATTGAAGAGGAAAAGCTAATGCCCCTAACTCAATGTAGAACATTTGTTGAAAATAATTTCATTAGCCATAACTCAAAAAGACAAAATGATTGGATTTTGATATAAAAATACAAAGACATTGAGTTTTTGTGAATGTTTGGGCATACATTGTTAAATAAGGGAACAATATAACTGAGGATGCAATCTTAACGGGTTAACAGTTTTAATTTCACCTGGACTTTAAGAGCACTGGGACCTGTTGTCTGTGGCTAAGAGGGGCCACAATACATTATTGGTTAAATTCCACTAGATCCATAAACTTGGTTGTGTTACCCTCTGGGAATAGTTGATTTGATTATAGCAGTCATCTGATCCTGGGGTTTCCGCCATTAACAATAATTGATTTATGGCTGAAATAATTCTGCCGTAGTCACATGTTAGTCAGGAAGTCCAACAACCTCCAAGTTGGATGCAAAACATTGCATTTACTACCATTTATGTGCAGCTTTAACTGTCTTTTAACTGAAGGATTGCCCTCTCACCAGTTGCTTTGATTCATTCTGCATACAATGTTACTCATAGTATTAGAAGTGCTGCACCTTCAGTTCCTGTATTCAGTGATAAGACAGACACCAATACTGCTGACACAGTATTATCGACTCTCAGTTTCCACATTTCTCGGTTTCACTCGATTTTGACATCACATATTTTTGTCTGGACTGGAAACATGACTTACCCCTGACCTCTGTGACTCACTTTCATGCATCGCAGCAGCAGTAGCCCCAGCTGGAGGGCTGGAGGCACCTTATGATAAGAGTCACATCAATGTCACAGGTGTCGTTGGCACTGCCAAGAACTGTAGTTACCCCCTCCGGGTGAGTCCTCTTCTCAGTGCAAGGGTGGTCGACCTACAGGCTTAACCAAACCCAGAACGCCTGCGAGGGTTGGACTTGATATTAATATTATTTGCAGTGAAGTTGTTTGTAACTTGTGGTAAAAAACAGGACACTTAAAAGCTATGGTGATACTGAAGCCAATGCAGATACCAGTGCTGGAAGAAGAACTTGGAGCGTTTACTGAAGTACCAAAACAACAGTGTAAAAATACAACATTACAAATAAAGGTTTTGCATTTAAAATCCTACTTAAAAAAGGTCCAGTGTGCAACATTTAGGATCTATTGGCAGATTTTTAGAGGGGAAACGTCTCTTTGGTAAAACTTTACTCTCTTTGAGGTCACAAGCCAAAAAAGTTCTGGTTTAATCCTTAATGTGTTTTATTTTATGTAAAATAACTTTTATTGTATTTTTCTATGTAAAATCTTAATCTGAAAGGTAACTGTAGCTACAGAAATCAAATACATTTAATGTAAAAAGGTTGTACAGTAGAAGTATCTCAAAATTGTACTTAAATACAGTACTGGAGTAAATGTACTTAGTTACTTTACACCACTGGCAAAGGGCAATTTACTGTTTAAAGCCCCTACAAGAAACTCTCATTTTGTGTTGATTCTGGCACCCCCTGTGGACAAAGGTGGTAGCGTTTCTACCGCCTTGTTTCATTGATTTCAAGGGGAATCTGACTGAATCTGACTAAATCTGACCAGGGGTCAGGCGTTAAATCTTCTCATTGATGATCTTGTTTTAATGATATAAAGCAGTTGGCCTACTGTGTATATTTTTTAAGTTTTCTAGCACCCCTTAAAGTCAAGAAGGCCTTGCGACCCCCCCGTGAAGCTTTGCCGGCCCCTAATGGGGGTCCTGATCCCCATGTTGGGAACCACTGATCTAGAAGAATCAGTATTAAATTGAAACCAGTTAAAAACTCCTTGTAGACAGTTTAAATCAACATTTTACATTAGAGTTAGTTCACATTAAGGTTTAAATAAATACATATAAATAAATGAGTTGTATAATAAATATGTAATTAAACTGTATCCATCATATCAGCAACGGATAAAATCCTCCGTTGGATTATGTGAAAACTTTTTGTGGAAGTGAAAAACATAACAGGTTTCCACTGAGTTTTCATGGAAAGTCTCAACTGGAGTGGTAACAATAGGGCAAATGAACTGTGCATTTACAGGGGTTTTCTCTAAATAGTGAATTAAAGAAGTAACCAACAGAGCTTATAGATGATGAGAAGGAACAGGTGCAAGTATGAAACCCAAGTCATACAGTGGGAAATCCACATTTCTTTATAACAACTAATGATCAAATCTCCCCATAGATCTCATGACAACTGTACAGTCAAATAATGTGAGAACTGAAGCTCTGAAACACAACATAATGATAACAGACACATAAATATCTCTTTAAAGTCATATTTGACTTCTGCTGACATTTTTAAAGTTGCCCAAAACAAGAACCTTCACAGTTTCCCTTTGTTCCTGGAGTGACATTGATAATCTGATGGGGAGGGGGTAACTGTAACCTCCTCTTATCCCCAGGGTCACGTGATGCAGCTTTGGTCCTGATGCTGCTGTTACCTTGACTCCGTATAGGGAGCGATTAGTGCCACACGGCAGCAGGATAAGGAGAACCAGGGGATCCATCCCAACAATGTGGACTAAAATACTGAGGTACAAATAGTACCGACACCTTCAGAGGAGAGCAAATAAATAAATAAATAAATGAAATGTTTACGGTAAAAAATTACTTACCGTAATAAATACGGTATAACTTTTATACTATTTCGGTAGAAGGATCTTAACACTGTAAAAACTTGTATTTATATGGAAAATATGGAATAAAACTCCAACTTTAACCATAAAATAAACAATCTAGAGAAAATTTTCCCTCAAAGTTTTCTGTGCAATTTACAGTCTGTAATATAAAAAAATATTTGATTCCAGATAAATTCCTTTAAAATGCCGTATAAATAAAGGTTTTGTTACCACTTAAATTGAATTTACTCAGCTTTCTTCCACTATAGCTAATTATTACATTTCCTGTCGTATGATAAAAAAAAACTATTTACAATTAATCGATTATCAAAATGGTAGCCAATTAATTTTGGGGCTTACGTAATGCAAAGTAATAATGGATAGAGGTAATCGGGGTGATAATGGACACCTTGTCGAGCATTATCCCGAAAAAGCTCATTATTTTATTATTATTATTATGTTATTATATGATACAGAGAGCTAACGTTATGCTAGTCAATAACAGTCAAGTCAATAACACTAATTATAATTTGACAGTATGTTTAGCAACAAGACCAATGAGCTATCAGCTATCAGAGTATTCACAAAGACCATGGTATAAATATTTGTATTGAAGTCAACTCACGCACAAATTTAAATGCAACTCATAACAACGGAGTTATTACTCAACAGTTCATTTTGAGCTATGTTTAACGCATAGAAACGAATGACTCAAAATATGTTAATAAGCTGTTGGGATTTAAAGTGTCTTCTTCATCACATATTACTGTACTGTAGCTTTAATGCCTCCGCCTGCTTATTTTTTGGCACTAATCGCCCCTCATACAGACACACGCATCATCGCTGCTGATCTGGAAATTCCCTCTTCTGCCATTTAAAAGCTCGGCTCTGAGGGCAATGTGAGCCCATCTCTCTGCAAACCAAAATACGAGGTTGTGAATAAAACTATGTAGCATTTTCTGTGCAAAGAAGAGGAAAATAAACAGGAAAAGCAGGTGTTGCATGTTTTTTTTTTAAATGGGAAATCTGTTGGGCAGCTGGCGTTTCAAGGAGCCGAGCACCGTTGAGGAATGCGACTCGACGTGGGGGTCGGACTCGGAGAGCGACGAGCCGGCGGGTGAAGATGACAGCGGCATCTCCGACTCCATCAGTCCGGCGGAGAGCGACCGGGCCGCGGGAGACGCGTCCCCGCAGGTACACGGAGGGTCACTGGAGCATGCATGGGGTGACACAGTGGAGAGGGGTGGGGTGGAGAACCGGGAACACGGTGCGGTAACATGTGTGCCACCGGGCAGCGCGCAATATTGACAAGGCCAGGACGCGTAAAGGGCAACTGAGCATCCCCGCCAAACTTCATTAAAAAATGTGTCGATTTTATTTAAACTCGGTTCTGTGCGGAGGTATTCACTCACATGGTGTTGACGTTACTTAGTGGTTGAGAGACACTCATTGTGGCGTTTAATCGGCCAACAGTACTTCATTGTAATAGTCATTCAGCAAGGTACACTTCAGGTGATGAGTGGCAGCTTGTAGTGAACAGTTGTTGTCAGATATGGGATGAAGTAACATGAATTGCTGCTTGGTGGATTAGAAACGTAATGCATTTTGAAAAGCATGAACTCTTACTTTCTATAAAATGGCATTATTGACTACATACTGTACACATACTTTTTAGTGGATTATTAAAAGGCAGTTTGTTATTCCCAGTATTGCTTTTCTAATTGAAGTTACAGTCTGCCTGCTGGTTTATGAAGGAAATAAAATACTTTATTAGACTCATGATTGTCCCGAATGATCAGAGCAGTAGACTGAATGTGTGTGTGTACTACTCCACACTGTTTTATTATATTAAAACCAGCAGGATATAACAGGATTGTTTGAGAAATTGTGATTCACTGGATCACTCTTTGGTACATTGTTTTAAACTGGATAAATTCACAGTGTTTTTTTTTTGCTATTTTACAACCATAAATTGAATTTCTGTGAAGGGGGTTTCTCAAAAGTTAAGACAATTCAGGTTCAGGTCAAAAAGGCACAAAAATGAAGAAAGCTACTGGCAGATTTGTCTGTTTTAAGCTGTATAACGTTAGATATTGAGGCCAGTGTAACACTGTGAGCCTTTCATTGGAAGTTAGCATGACCCAGATATTATTTGAGAATCAGAACTAGTTTCCAGCGTTCCTTTTGTAGCGATTGCACGGTAGCGCTGATGTGGATTGTCCTCCTTTGCTGGAGAGGAATGGGATAATAACAGCCCTCGACCTCAAAAGCAAAGTCAATCCTTTTAATTCAGACGAGTGCGACGCCACATCTGTTAAATCTGTTAGATCTGCATTTGAACCTGAGTCTCTTTCTCTCTTTCTTTCCTCTCTCAGCTGACTGAATCCCCACAGTCTGCTCCAAGGATGAAGAGGAGTTTCTACGCTGCCAGGGACCTCTACAAGTACCGTCATAGCTACCCGGTACGTGCACACTGATGTCGATATAATGCATAGTTGCTCTCTCAGTGTTGTAGACACCCAGTGAGATCTTACTCTCTCTGTGTGTGTTTGTGTGCAGAACTACAGGAAGTCCCGGCAACCCAACGAGTACCGTAACCTGCGCTTCTACCTGAACAAGATCCCTCTGGTACCTGATGGTGAGATCATACACACACACAAATAAACATGTATCTACTGTATGTATCGACACCCTTGGTATCGTTTTGCCATTATGGTCGTCAAATAATCAAAAAGTGGAAATAGTCAACGCAGTAACAGAAATCTGGATCCCATATCTTGATCAGCACTGTTTTGACAGTTTGATCTGAGTTTGGTGTGGGTGAGCTGGACTGGACTCACATGAGAATGAGCTGTCAATGCACAAGGTAAGCCCCGCCCTAAAGCATACCCTGCTTTTATGGTGCTGTTTTACTCTAAATGGGACCATCAGTTACTAAAATGAACAATCATGCTGTATGGAAGAAGACTGAAACCTAGAGGACTGAGACCAGAAACTCATCAGGAAACTGTTTACTGAGCTCATACATCAACTGAGAAGTCGACTCATTTCTCCATAAGACTGAATGGTATCAGTGTTTTATTGCAACCAATGGAGCTGCCCCCTGCTGGCCATTACGTAAAAATAAATAAATAACTGTTTAAATATTTAAAATACGTTTCACATTTTCAAATTGAAGGTTATATGGAAAGCTAGTATATGGACTATGGTTAGTGGTGTCTATATTGTGAATTCCTGGATATCAGATATCCTGGTTCATCATACTTATTCTAATTCTAACTGATGTTTTGGCTTCACATCTGGAGAGCTGTCATGTCGTCCATCTTTATATATGTCGATCGGTGGGACCCCTGTAGTAAGTGGGCATAGACTAAAAGTCTTCAGTGCTGTATGAACGATAGATGAACCCAGTATCGATGGACCTCATAGAATCTGGAGTTACAGTTTGTCGGCACCCACTCCTTTAGATAGAGCTGAAGGTCCGATGGTCAATTGTACTGACGGGTCGCCCACGTAGAGCTTATGTATGGGAACACTGCACACACACACACACACACACACACACACACACACACTCTATACATGCAGACCTGCCACTGTGGAGAGAAACAATGTTGGCTTTGGGCTTAACAAGTTTTGTTTGGCTAAAAGGTCATGTTTGACTGGGAAAGACCAGAAGATTAGTGGATTGATCTAGTGTTTAAACAAGCTTACACACACACACACACACACACACACTGGAAACGATGTGTGGCAGCTAATTAGCCCCTGTCTCTCCTCAGGTATCTACATAGAGGAGATTCTGACTAAGTGGAGAGGCGACTATGACAAACTGGAGCACAATCACACCTACATTCAGTGGTGAGACATTTCATCCGTCTACTTTCATTTTCCTTCAGACTGCCTGGAGTTAATTGTGTGTTATAACTGACACACCAAGGCGCTGTCAAACAAATTTCACCGGGAATAAAGTGAGGATTTTACTTCCTGGGTGTGAAATGTGGGACGTTTTTAGAAATTCACTGTTAGCTAAGCCCGGCCCCCCCTGTAGCTTCTGTTGCTACACCTGTTTAGCTTTCCGCTCTTACGTGTGCAGTTTATTTATGGAAATTGTTTCTCATTAAAACAAAGCGTCCCTCATCTCAGACAGCTAATAGGACAACTGTCGCTGTCAGATTGCTCTATGAGTTGGTTGGTGGATGTTTTTAGTTTTCAATGACATACTAGAAATAAGAAACAACATTGTCAGTAGTGTAGAGCTAGTTAGTCCTAGCATTACCAATATAATGAGGCAGGTTAGCTTTATGCTCGCTATCTGAGGTATTTAACATCTATTCCAATAAAGAGCAGGACAGAGATGCTAACTCTGATAGCATCCAGGGAACACTGGATGTGATAGACCTGTGTATGGAACATGGTGTTAACTTTCTGTAGTGTTGACAGCATTAGCAACTGTTGTGAAATGACACTTACGTAATAATCCACATTATTAAATATGTTTTAATCAGATCTAGAAATGAATTTCATCGTGTTTTTTTACTCCATTTCAGGCTATTCCCATTAAGAGAACAAGGGCTCAACTTCTACGCACATGAACTGACTCAGGAGGAGATCAAAGTAAGACACACAAGTAGACGTAAATATATATATATATATATATTATATTATATATATTCTATAGTCTACACACACTGTCAGTATCCTGACACGTTTACAAGGTCTGAGCTTCCTGCTGCATGTCTAATTTGTTTGCACTTCCTCATTGTATAAGTGTTTGACCTCGTTGGTGCATTCCCTATACTATATATAGCAGTTACACAAGTTACTCAAATGAGACAAAACTTACATTCTCAAAAGGGGTTTTTGGAAATTCTCACTGTGTTTTGATCAATTTGAATAAAATAATATTTAATAAAATAATAATATGTGTCAACTTTAAGAATGCTGATCCACTTGAATGTTTGTGTCCAGGTTGTGTTTTGTTGGTTTTGTGAATTTAGTTTTAAAATTAATTCACATTCCAAAAAAGATTCAGAGAAACTTTTATTGATTAAGCCTCTAAAAAGTCATTATTTTGAGACACCAAGTCAAAATATTGAGAAACTCATTATTTTGAGAAAGTTTCTCATTATAATGACTTACAGAATCTTTTTTGGGGGGTCACATTGGCAGAAATGGGCTTCCATAGTTAAAGCTGCAGTAGATCACTTTTACAAAAATAACTTTCTGTCGTATTTGCTGAAACTTTCACTTTATCCTGACAGTAGAATATGAGACAGATGCTCTTAATGGCATTTACAGGAAAACAACCAATCAGCTTTAATGAGAACATACTAGACTGACTAGATAAATGTTACGTCCGTCTGCCATCTTTGGATGATCTGAAGACCATCTGATCACCCACAATGCATGTCGATGGCAAACAGAAAAGCAGTGTTGTAACCCCTCGTGTCGGTTTCTGATCGGCTGCGTTTAATTCTGTCAGGAATTCCAAAGCACTCGGGAAGCTAAGCGGAGATTCCTGGCGGCCTATTCCCTGATGTTGGACTTCTACGGCATCAAACTGCTGGATAAGAGTGGGAATGTCGCTCGGGCTCCCAACTGCCAGGAGCGCTTCCAGCACCTTAATGAGTAAGCATGCACACACACACACACACACACACACACACACACACAGACACACACACTGTGCAGCAGCTTCGGGGTATATAATTGCATCCAGAATGTGTGTGGACTTCTGGCTCGGTTGCCAATCGCTGCTTTTGTGTCTTTTAGCAAGGCAATTATTCTAAATCCAATGCAACTAAATTGTTCTTCTATCAGCAGCCAAATGTGAAACAAACAGATGGTTAAAGGGTAATTTAAAGGGTGATGTGTTTTTCTTTCACATCCTGCTTGGATGCTTTCATGGCCTGAGAGAAGTCATCACCTTCCTCGCCACAGAAGCACCTGAATGTCACACGTTAGGAAAATTATAGTGTGTGTTTCTCCTTTTACCCACCACGGTGTCAGTGCTATTACTACAACCTCCTCAAGTCACAAACCACCTTAAACCTTAGCATCGGATGCTAATGGTTGCCATTATCCCAACCACATGGAAAACAACACATTCTCCTCCATGAAGCAGCTGCTCGCTACAGTTTTGTTCCGTTCTCTTGCTTTTAACGTCCCATCAAATATGCACAAAACCGCCTTTTGCATCTGGTACACTGTGGGCTCCAGATTCCTCTTAGAAACAAACCACCTTCAGAAACAAACTATTCTAAATAATAAGGTTCTCTGTGTTGTCAAAGACCGGACGACCAAAGCAGAGCAGGTGATTGTTGTTGGAACAGTGGAAAGACTAACAAATAGGATTTGGTTAGTTTCATTTTGTTTCTGGCAACTTTGAATGAAGGGTGTTTCACAAGTTTCTACAAGGTTAAATGAGTGATTTTGTCTTTGGAGTCTGGTGCAGAGTGATAGTGATATTACGGCTGTTTCTGGTTAAAATGAAGGTCTATCTCTGTAGGGATCCTTTCCATAATGCAGTCAGACACTGAGAATACCAATCTCAGTCCGTCAGTGGCAAAAACAACAACTGTTAGTAGACGCACTGTGACAGGCGCATTTGTCCCCAAGGATTAGTTAACGTTACTTGGCAGTCGGTTTCGCAGCTATTTTCTCATCTAACTCTGTGAATTAAGGATTTATTTCGACCAAAGCAGAGTTGGTGATTGTTGTTAAAACAGTGTTTTAAGTGTTTTTTAAGAGTGTTTTAGGAGTTTTAGGATCTCGGGGGGTAAAATGAGTGTTTTTGTCAATGGAATCTGGTGGGCTGTATTTGTTTTGGTCTGCTCTCTCAATAACAGCAGCTGCAACACAAATTGTTTGCATAATAAAAGCTTCTAAATAAAATATATCCTATAGGTCACACAATATTAGACTATTTAATATGCTATTAATGTATATATTTATTTATATATTTGGCATATTTCCCTCCCCTAATATCTTATCTATCACCGATATAAGGTCGCATTGTGTAACACTTCAAAGCAGACATTTTGAATAGTCGTATGAGGAAAGCTGAGGTGTCACTAATAACGTCGACGATGGCTTTGTTTTATTTTAGTGTCCCAGTGAGTCGTGGCAGTGTGACAGCGAGCCAGCAGGAACAATACCCACTGTGCTTTGTCAAAATGTTCCATGTCCCGTTATACACAGCGTGTCGATGTGAATTAATGATGATCTAACAGAATTCTCTCAACTCCAGCAAACCTTTTCACCTCCTGCTTTCTTCTTTTAAAGGTCCCAGCACAACTACCTGCGGATCACGCGCATCCTGAAGTCCCTGGGTGAGCTCGGCTACGAGGCCTTCAAAGCCCCGCTGGTCCGTCTGTTCCTGGAGGAGGCGCTGTGCCGCAACACCCTTCCCAACATGCAACACAGCGCGCTTGAGTACTACGTCTACACCATCCGCCTGCCAGCCACCCGCAGACGCCTGCTCCGCTACGCCCGCCAGCACTACAGGCCCGCCCACGCCTTCCTCTGGGGTCCGCCGCCTAAGAGGCGAGGGGGTGGCGTCAGTGGAAGCGTAGGTGCTGGAAGTAGTGGGATCAGGGCGCCTGCTCCAACGCCAGAGCAACAGAGGAGGGAGGAGGAGAGCACCACCGCCCCCTCTGCCAGTAGTGGGATTATTGTGTCTTCTCATGATGCCATAATGTGCCAGGAGCTGGCTGGAGGAGGGCTGAAGGGCTGCGCAGGACTCGGCTCCAATATGGCCGGACTGGAGGGGGCGTTACTGATGGTGGCAGCTAGAGCAGAGAGGAACGAGTATAACGACATGGTTCCTCTGTAGGGAATGGGGTTCGATTGTTAGGCAGAAAACAAAATGAACCGGTTCCATTGTAAAGAAATGATTGATTATGCCTGAACTTCATTGTTAGACTCACAAAGCTTTTATTGACAGTAATCGTAGAACACATTCGTAGAATCTGATCGTCAGAATCAGTTCAGGTTAAGGGCTTACCATACTACTTACAGAACTAGCATGTTATTTCTTTGCTGATCAGTATTGAATTTGGGGCAGGACTGGTCACATCTTGAGCCAAGATAAACAAACTCACCTCGGACCAAATCCCAAAACCATCTAAAACTAATAGAGACCCAGACGTGTGTTGCAAGGCTTTTCCTCATCTGGGCTACGAAACAACTTAGATCGCCTTATTTAATGATGTGAACTGTCGGGGAGGTGCTCACCTTTTAGAGCCAAAAGATGTCTGCTGACGGGTGCATTGGTCTCGCGATGGTTTTGGGAAACAAAGTCCTTCCTACTGGAGCTCCGCTGAGCAACAAGCTGAGTGAAACTTACAATGTGAAGAGGAGGTCAGGGAGTTGTCTTTTTCTAAAGAACAGAACAGAAGAAAGGGTGGCTAATTTATCATAGCAATACTTTGAAACCACATTTTTTGAAGTCTTTACTTTGTTGTTAATAATAGAAGGCACAATATTGATCTGCTCTGTGAGAGGTAGCTGCTCCCCCTGAAAATTGTATATTTGTATTAATTAATTGTACTATTGAGCAAAGAAACAGGACTTGTCAGTGACTTGATATCTGTAAGAACCAGAGAGGCTTTTCAGTGACGTTGCTACACTCCTGTCAACAGTGAGTACAGAGTGTGGTGTCACCCAGAAGGCCTCTCTGTTCTTACATTAGCAGGGGATTGGATGCGACTGGAGTTAATGTGGTGATCAAACAGGTAACATGTGGTGTGTTGCACTTTTTTGACAATCTGTGTCTTCCTGTTGAGTGCGCTGTTGGTTTTTCCAAATCGTGATCTAAATGTGTAATCTACAAATGGTCAGGAACTCGCCGCCTCATTAATTGATTGTTCTCATATCGTCTAGCCTTGCAATAGTTTGTTTTCAACCAGGCTACACATAGAAGGAGGTGATACTGTTAATGCTTTCTGAATATAACCGTTAAAAGCTTCTAGGGCAGAGTTTGTAGAAGTGCAGCTGGTAGTGTTTATAACATAATATTATAAATATTCTAAAATATTTTTTTCCTGTAGAACTGTACTATGTACCAGGCACATCCTGGAAATAATAATGAACAATAACAAGGACACTTGCAGGTTTACCAGACGCAAAGCGGGACAGAAAACGCTCCTTTTTCCATTTCCTGTCCCATGTCAGTTAAGAGCTGTTCACACCTGCAGGAAACTTTTGGCTTGAAGTCTATTTTGGAAATGCTGCAGAAGGTAACATTTACATCTTCTTTTAAAAGGCTTATTATTAGGTGAGAAGATTTTTCTGTAAATTAAACTGAAATCTACTTGGTTTGAACTGTTATTTATGGGCTCTGGTCAACTGCAGCTAATCGACTGCGGTGAGAACAACCAAGCACGCCGTGAACCCGAGCTAACGTGGACTGTCCCATAAACGCTGACCAGTTTTATGAGCAAAGAAAAGCCCTGGGAAATGATTTCTTAAAAGTACTGGGAACCCTGTGTAATGAGGGTGCATGAGTCCTTTAATTAGCATGTATAACGATAACAGTAATTTAACTCTGCTAACACCCAGACTAATTATTTCTTTTAGGGTTAGCAGCTGCTCAAGAGAGTGAAACAGGTTTTACACTCACCTTCCGAAATGTTAAGAAACAGCATATCATCACCTTCATCCTGTCACAAGTTGACAGCAACACCTTGCTTGTGTTTATTTTTTATTTATTATTAACAGATGGATATTGAGCCGGTAAGCAGTTGGCAGACGAGTTAAGGTTGAATTCTAGGCATCGTTTCAAACAGACCTTTGAGTTCCTGGTTGCAATATCTTTGAAATTAAAAGCCATGTGAGGTGTTAAGAGAGCATACAATGCGGTCAGCTGCTTTTCCTGTTTATCATCAGCTGACGATGTCTCTACGTTGCTCCCCAGCCAAGTGTATCTGAAATAATTGTAAAAAAACAACAACTTTTCAGGTGAATTCTGTGATAACATGGGCTCAAGTATCTGATTTTTTTAGTATGTGTACATAGTGTGTGTGCGTGTGTATGTGATATTCTTAAGTGCCTTTTTTGTATTTTTTATGTTTATCTGTATGCTGTAAGAAGCGTCTTTCCCATCTTATTTCCTGTACATCCTGTTTTTTGTACAGCTTTTTGATATTTACATTGTTTGCATTATAGTCATATACAGTATTAATGTACAGTAACAGCAGGAATACTAAGAATTGATATAGATGAGGTGAATAATATATAATACTTGAAATAGTTTGTATCTGGCCTGTTGATTAAAATGTGATTGTTCATTATTCACTATGCTTGCTGGTGTTTTCCCAGTGTTCTTTGAGCATAGATGGACACAATAACTGGACATTTGCCCTAAAATGTGAAATTTGCCACACTTGACTCAAATAAAAACGAGGATGTGAGGATATGATGTGTCACTGTATCTGAAAGTCTGTGTTCAGGAAGCAGGAGTAATCTCATTGGTTGAGGTAAACCTCAGTGGTTGGAGCCACCGTTTGTCTGCCAAAGGCTGAACAGATATCACTGTTAAATAAACTCACAGTGGAGGATTAGACATGCAAAGGGTTTCACTTTCCAATACTTAATATAACTGAGATTATCTGCCTGACTTCTGAAACATTGCTGACGTCAGAACCTCTAATCTGACTGGAACTAATGCTGTATTAATATGCACATACAATAGCGTGCGCCCCAAAACAACGGAACGGAAAAAAGACAGGT